ATGCTTTAGCAAGGCTCAGCACAAGCTGGAAGAATACCATTTCATTTGTGGCTTGGGGGCCCAGCAGCCTTCAAGTTTCAATCTCAAGTTCAATAATTTTAAGGCCTAAACACCTTCTTCCACATCCTTTACCCACCCTTACATCTCAGGCCTTGGCATCACATGGGCTACTTTCAGCACAGCAAACCCATCTTCACATATGTATGGTCCTCATTATCAGCTTTTCTTCTTTCGTGGCATAGCATTATCCATTTTATTGTTTGCTTACTGTCTATCTCCACCAATCCTTCCATTCCATAAGCACTCCTCCTCAACCCCTGTCTTCAGGACATGTACCATTTTTTCCCACCTACTACTAGTTCTGATGAAGGGTCGCTGGACCTAAAATGTTGACTCTCCTTTCTCTCCACTTATGTTGCCAGACCTGCTGACTCTCTCCAGTATTTCTGTTTCTGTACCATGTTTATTCTGCTTGATCACATTAAGATTTCTAAATGCCCCACTATAACCTCAATTGACTTACTGTAGATCTGAGGAATTGTTTATTGAAGAAAATAAAATTTGCAGGTGTCTTGTTTACATGCATATGCTGTTTAAATTTCATCCTCCAGCAATACTCTTCTGGACACTTTTACAAATCATTACGTCCTCTGGACATGGTCTCAGGATGACATCTCAGGCAAAAGTTGGCAAATCTGAAAATGCAGCAACATGTCAGCACCAAACGCTGAATATATATAATTTTTGCTGATTTAAAAATAGAACTATTGGAAAATACTTTGCAAATTTAGTGAAGACAGAGGTATGTTGCCAAAATTTTCATTTTGTAATCGTCAAGAAATATGCAAAAATGCCACGAAATTTGGCATTCTTCCTTTTTATTTGGGATGTAGTTGTTGCTAGCTGGACCAGCAGTTACTGTCTTTGAGAAGGTAGCGGAGAGATGATTTATTGAACCATTGCTGGTCTTGAGGTGTAATCCTGATTGGCAGGGAGTTTCAGGATTTTGACCCAATGACAATGAAGGAATAGCAATATAGGTCCAAATAAGGTTAGTGAGTGGTTGGAAGGGAACTAACATAGGAAGAGGAATAGGCCATTCAGCCCCTTGAGCCTGCTCTGTCATTCAAAATGATCATGGCTGATCTGTGGTTTAACTCCATATGCCTGCCTTGGGCCAATTTCCCTTGATATCCTTGCTTAATAAAAGTGTATCCATCTCAGATTTAAATCTAACAATTGAATTAGCACTGACCACTGCTTGAGGAAGAGGGTTCCAAACCTCTTTGCGTACTTTCAAGCATTTCTCCTGAATGGCCTCGACAAATTCTTATTCTATGCCCCCCAGTTCTAGAATCCTTAACTAGTGGAAATAGTTTTTCTTTACTTACCTTGTTTTTCCCTGTTAATATCCTGAAAACCTCAATTAGATCACCCTTTAACCTTCTAAATTCTAGAGAATATAGGCTTAATTTGTCTAATCTGTTTTAATAGTTTAACTCTTGAAATCCAGGTATCATCCTTGGAAACCTACATTGACCAGGGCCAAAACATCCTTCCAAAGGTGCGATGCCCAAATCTTCCCTCAGTGCTCTAAATAGAGTCTGACTAGGGTTGTATACAACTGCAGCATAACATCTGTGTCCTTATACTTCAGCCCTTTAGATATGAAGGCCAGCATTCCATTGGCCTTGTTGACCATTTTCTGCACCTGTTCATGGCATTTTATAGAGCTTTGTATCTAAACCTCCAAATCCTGTTAGACGTCCACTTTATTTAACCTTGTGCCTTCTAAAAAAAACCCTGATCTATCCTTTCTTGGTACAAATCAGTGGTAGTATCATAGGTATCTGTTTATCGATGAGGGCAATGAAAAGCTTTGGTAATGTGTCTCTCTTTACAACAATCTTCAGGTTCTGAGCAACTGACCACCTGCAAAGTTAATAAAGTTGACTGGATTGTACAAGAGCTCAACAGGGTGCAGTAGTTGCCATGACCAAAATGTGAGGAGTTTGAAAATCCCTTAATGTAATCACCATTGGTTTCTATTGAACATTCTCCCTATGAGAAGCAATTAGGAAACTGATTTACATGAAAGTTATTCGAACACTACATATTTTTACCTTTCCATCAGAAAGCACTTGGATTTTCTACAAAGTCTTTCAGAATATCATCCCAATATTCTTTGTAGGTAACAAGATATATTTGAAGGACTGTTTGCATTGTTTGTACTGTAGTATAAATAACTGTACTGAACCCAAATGCCGTATACACAAGTATCTCCTACAAACAGCATTGACATACAGGTCACATAGTTTGCCTCAGCGATGTTGGTTGAGTGCTGGACGGTGAGGATGAACTACAACAGTAGTAAAATATTGGAACACTGCCTCAAAAGACTGTGGGAGTGAGTTCTTGAATATTTTTGAGACAGAAGTAGATAGATTCTTGTTAAGCAAAAGGATGAATGTTTATCTGGGGTAGGTGGGTATATGGGACAATTAGATCAGTAACAATTTTACTGAATGACAGAACAGGCTCAAGGCATGATTGGCCTTCGCCTGCTCTTAACTTGTATGGTCATATACTGCAGATGCTAGAAGTTGAAAATGAAAACAAAAATGTTGGAAACACAGAAGGTCAGGCAGTATCAGTGGAACACGAAACAGAGTTGTACATCAGGTCAGTAACTACTGATTAAGAAGGCCTTCTAGGGTGAAATCCTCTGCTCGTCTGCAAAATAGGAACGATGGTATCTGTCAGATCTACAAGAGAATAGACTGTGCATCAGTTTAATGTCTGAAAGATAACCCCTTCCGTATTGCCTGATGGCTGAAGTGTTAGCCCAAATATTTCAGGTACAGAAGCAAAAAGTGATCCCCATTCAGGGAGGATGGTTATATATAGTCTAACCATGGCGAGAAACTGCATCTAGATTTTCTTTAAAACAAGGTGAAACTGTTGCACTACAGCTACTACATGGTTCTTGCTGACCAGGACACGCTCCTGCTTTAGGTGTATTGGAAGGATTTGTAAGTTGATACTCAAACCTGTTTGGCCATGTCAGGAATACACCTTGATCATCCATCAAGCCCTGGAGTATGACTTGACCCTGGAGCTTCTGGGTCAGAGGCAGGAAGGTCAGCAATGCAGAATGTGTTTTTTGTCTGACTGATTTCAAAGACAGGTTTGAAGTAATCAATCAACCAACTAACTACTGGCAAAGTTGCCTGGACCCACAACCTGTGGCAACTGTCACTTGGGCAATGGTGTAGTCTTGCCAACCATTGCTTTGTCTAGATGGCAATGATGTGGATGTGCTGGTGTTGGACTGGGGCAGGTGACATGATGGCTAAGTGGTTAGCACTACTGCCTCACAGCACCGGGGACCTGGGTTCAATTCCAGCCTCGGGCGACTGTCTGTGTGGAGTTTGCACATTCTCCCCGTGTCTGTGTCAGTTTCCTCCAGGTGCACTGGTTCCCTCTCAAAGATGTGCAGGTTAGGTGGATTGGCCACTCTAAATTGCCCACAGTGTTCAGGGATGTGTAATTTAAATGGATTAGCCATAGGAAATACAGGGCTACAGGGATAGGTTAGGAGGGTGAGTCTGGGTGGGATGCTCTTTGGAGAGTTGGTGTGGACTTGTTGGGCCAAATGGCCTGTTTCCACACTGTAGGGATTCTATGATTCTAAGTCGGATGAAGTTGCCTGATGAAGGAGCAGCCATCCAAAAGCTTGTGATTTCAAATAAACCTGTTGGACTATAACCTGGTGTCATGTGACTTCTGATTTTGTCGACATGGCAAGACTGCCATCCTGCAAATCTTCCACCATGATAATGCAGGGTTATTGATCAAATGTCAACTCTGTTTCTAGACCTAGCGAATAATTCCATTACAAACTGTTTTCACATCAGATTTTCTTTTTTATTCACTTGTGCTGGACCAGCATTTATTGTGCATCCCTAGTTTCCCATCACAAGGTGGTGATGAACTGTCTTCTTGAACCACTGCAGTTCATGTTTTGTAGGTTGACCCACAATACTGTTAGGGAGAGAATCCCAGAATTTTGACTCAGCGATACTGAAGGAACAGCAATGTTTCCGAATCAGGATGGCAAGTTGCTTAGAGGGGAACTTGCAGGTGGTGGTGTGACCATGTATCTGCTGCCCTTGTCCTTCTCAGTGGAAGTGGTCTTGGGTTTTGAAGGAACTCTAGTGATTGGAACCAGATGGACCTTGTTGACTATGAGTTCCTTGATTGGGGTTCTTAAACTGGGCCAATCAGGAGGCACTGGCTGACCAATATTAACAGGGGATTCAGAATTTCCTCAGATCAGGGGGTTGACTGGTCACAGCCAAATTTGGGATGACTTGGTGACAGGATACTGGCCTCTGTGCAATTATTTCTGAAGAAGGGTCAGGGGACCTGAAAACTCTGCTTCTCTCCACAGTTGCTGCCAGATTTGTTGAGTTTTTGTCTTTGTTTCTGCTGTCCAATACCTGCAGTTCTTTTTTCTGATGAAGGGTCTAGGCCCGAAACGTCAGCCTCTCTGCTCCTATGATGCTGCTTGGCCTGCTGTGTTCATCCAGCCCTGCACCTTGTTATCTCGGATTCTCCAGCATCTGCAGTTCCTACTATCTCTCACCTGCAGTTCTTTGGTATTTTTGTGGGTCTTGAAAGTGCAGTTGCAGGATCTTTGGCGAATTTTCCTAGAGATGGTAGCGAATGTCAGCACCTGCAGCATTCTGCTATTAGCCTAAATCCTTGCAGAGAGGAATAATTTCAAAACACACCCACTGCCCTGGCCCTTTAAGAAACTGCAATGATGTAATGCACTGAGATCATGAAGCGAAGCCACTTCCGGTCCACTCGTCAATCAAACCTGCGTGGCGAGGGGGCGGGGATGGTTTTTGATTGACGTGTGTTACAGCCAATTGAAGCCGGCGTCGGGGTCGTCGGGACCAATAGGAAGCAGGAACACGTGGGGCGGACCTAGGCAGGTTAGGTTGAGCCGGCCGGCCTGACAACGAGAGGAGCAGCATCCAGCACTGGGCAGTGGGGAGGGAAGGATAGAAACAGAGCGCAAGAACAAACCAGGCCGGGATCACAGCGACATCGCGAGAGAATAAATTTGGAAGCGAACGAGCCCACTTGCCCAGCTTCTCGTCAGCGGGCGGCGGGAGGTGAGGAACGTGTTTTTCCGCTCCCCTCCTCCTCCTTCACCCTAACTGACTTCGAACGACAGATTCGAACCGTCCAACCAAGCGACGTTGGCGAACCGGCCCCGCCTCGCGCCTGCTGGCGACCGTCTCCAGGACAACCGCGCGCTCCCTGGGAGCCGTCGCCAGGGTAACGGCGCGCTCCTGGCAACCGTCACCGGGGCAACCGCGCGCGGACTCATCCACTCCTTTCCCCCTTACCCGTTTCTTGGCGACCATCACTATGGAAACGGCGCGCGGGCCGCGAGTAGAATGTCGTGCTTCTGAAAACCCTTGCCGTTCCGCCCAGTCCTCCCGTACTAGCCCTTCGGTGGAGTTAGCCAATTTGTCTTGATTTCCCTGCTGTTTCCATGCGGCCCTTTTCTTTTAGCTCACTCCATTCGGGAATTTATCTTTGTTTTCTTTCTAGTTTTAGGTAATAAATGCTTTCATCGTTTTCTCTTTTTGTTCAATTTTCCGCTGTCAAATGTGTCTCATGTTCAGTGATCATTCTTACCACTGGAAGCACCTTCTCCTTATTGACTCAGTTAAAAACTTTTTTTCATAATTTTGATTCCCTCTTTCATATCTCAGCTAGCCTCCTCTACATAGGCGTGCAATCACAGCTTCTCCAATTACTTCGCAGAACAAGATTCACTCATTTGGTAGCATTCCTAGCCCATTCTCTAGTCCTAGAGTACCCTAGCCCAGCCCAACCTAACCAGTGGTTGATAAAAGATTTTGCATTATCTCCTTGATTGCATGTTTTTCATCTAACAGCTTTGTTGCCTGTCCCAAGTCCCGTTGAAATGATACTGTTTACGTTTGTGGCATGATAGAATAGATATAGCGTAGAAGTAGGCTATTCAGCCTGTTCTCCCTCTCCTGCCTTTACCAAAATAGCCTTGCAAATTATTCCTCTTCAGATACTAACCCATTCCCTTTTGAAATACACAATTTCAATCTGCTTCTGCCACACTCTTGGGTGGTGACTTCCAGATCCTTTTATATTTTTCTTCTGATGCGCATAATTGAATTATGAGGTTACAATTAGTTTCTTGGTGTAATATTTTTGGACTAAATACTTGTTTTCAAATATATTGCTGGCTTCCATATTAAGGTCTGTTCCAGAGTGCTGATTGTGGTTTTTTGATTTGCTGAGCCCTTCTTTTTGTAGTTGGAAAGTAAAACTCCTTCTGATGTGACTGTTATTTATTGATGATACTCTGGTTCCAGACACGTTTCTGTACTGTATATTATGGTACCTCATCCATTTGTGTCCCCCACCACTTTGATTTTGAATGTCATAAGTGGAGAGCATCTTCACAATGCACTGTATTAAGAACATTTTCAGGATAAAGCCCTACTTGAAATGTCTCATTGTTCAGACTGTTTGCCTGTCTTTTAGCCATTCTTCTTTTCCTGATGAATGAAACTACAAAATAATGTCCCTTTTGTCACTTGTTTTACAGTCTTGAATTCTTCAGATGGAGGCATTGTTATGGCAAATATGCAAGTCCAGATTTTGCAGTTACTTAATTGTCTGCCACTTTGCATTATTGATGCAGTGGGGGAGGGTGGGCTGGTGATTCCTTCCTATTGTGACAGATAACGGAGCTGCTTCTCTTATATGCCCTCCTGCCAAATCTCATTCATTTCAGCAAGGTTCACTTAGAGTCACGGAGATACACAGCACGGAAACAGACCTTTTGGTCCAACTTGTCCACGCCGACCAGATATCCTGTGTAAATCTAGGAGATAGCAAGAACTGCAGATGCTGGAGTCAGAGATAACACAGTGTGGAGCTAGAGGAACATAGCAGGTCCGGCAGCATCAGAGGAGCAGGAAAGTTGACATTTCAGGTCAAGACCCTTCTTCAGATAATTCCTCCCTCTCTACTTTGTCCCTTTAAATAATTTGCTTCTTTTGATTTGAGCACAGTCTAGATGAGTTTGTCTCCATTGTCATACGCCACAAAAGGGAGCTATTCACCTCTTTTAAAAGGCTATCTGACTAGTCTCACTTCCCTGTTCGATTCCTGAAGCCTTGCACATTTTACCCTTGAAGTGTTTATCCAATTCAACTTTGAAAGTTGCCATTTAGTCTGCTTCCACTGTACAGTCATTGCTTGGACCACTGATTTCAATCTTTGTGATATTGCTCAATGTGGTCACTGTTTCAACTCCTCAGTTACTGAGACCCTTAATGACTTTACATGCAAACCTACAGGTTAGGAGCAGGAGTATGCCACTCAGCACTGCATGTCTGCTGTGCCATTCACAATGACTACTCCACCTTCCAACCTATCCCCAATAATGTCTCACCCCTGTCCTTAGCAAGAATCTTATCCATGTCTGTCTTAAAAAGTTTCAAATGCTCTGCTTCTACAGTTTTTAAATGAAGAGAGTTCCAAAAAACCTGTGACTCAAAGAGAAATATTTCTCTTTGACTCTGTCTTAAATGAGTGGCACAGTGGCACTGCTGGTTCACAGCGCCAGGAACCCGGGCTCGATTTCAGTCTTGGGCGATTGTGCAAACTCCACACAGACATTCTCCCACAGTCTAAAGATGTGCAGACTAGGTGTTTGGCCATGCTAAATTGCCCATAGTGTCCAGGGGTGTGTGGGCTCACAGGGATAGGGTAGGTGGCTGGGTGTGGGTGGGATGCGCTTCGGAGAGTCAGTGTGGACTCAATGGGGCGAATGGCCTGCTTCCACACTGTAGGGATTCTATGATCCTGTTATGAAATGGTGACCCTGTATCTTTAAACAGTGACCCATTACATTTAGATTCTCCCATGAGGAAGCATCCTTTTCACAACATGCTGTAAAATCCCTTCTTTGTTACTTCTAGACACTTTTATTTCAACACACTGCTAGCTGGTCTTCCACATTTTGGATATTTTCTAATCAATCTGGTCAGTAATGTTATAGAATAACTCAGGAGCAGGTGTGACTTGAACCTGGGTCTTCTAGTCTGGAGATAAGGAGACTACCTCAAAGCCATGTCTCTCATCTTCTGTGCCCTGAAAATCCTGCTTTCATGTGTTAACTTGCAGAAAGTCGCATTCCCCTGTCAATCTTAAGTTCACTAAAATAGAAGCAAAATACTATGGCTCCGGGAAATCTGAAATAAATGCAGAAAGAAACTCGGCAGGTCTGGCATATCTGTGGAGAGAGAAACAGCTAAACATTTTAGTTTGCGTAATACTTTGCTTCACTTCTTTCTTAGCTCTGTTTTTCCCTGTCTGTCTCTCTGCAACATCCATCCAGAGATTCTGCCAGACCTGTCTTGTTTCTCCAGCATTTTTATTTTGATTTACGTTCACTGACCTAAATCGACTCACCTCCAGTCAAATTACATCCTGTTTTTAACATTTCTTCCTTGTTTTCAAATCCCTCTAGGGACTCCTCACATGTCCCTACCTCTGCATTCTCCTCCCGGTCCGTGAATACTCAAGATTTCTGAACCTTTCCGATTCTGATATCGTGACGATCACTGTTTTTAACCTCTTTACATAGGTGGCTGCGTCATCAGATGCCTGGACCCTGACCTCTAAGGCTTCCTAAATTTCTTCCCACTTCAGACTTTGTCTTTCAGACACTACCAAAAGCAGACTTCTTTGACCGTGTTTTAGTCATCTAACCTATTTCCTTATGATACATAATATCGTTTTATGCTCATGTGAACCATCTCAGAATGTTTTATGATGTTAAGAGTGACATTAAAAAAATGTATAAATAAAAGTTGATATTGCTGGGAAGTGAATTCTAAGAATTGGTGGCAGGATGAACAGCTTTAGTCATGTGGGAGCAGAGAAGGTTAAGAGAAATTTTGAGATGACAATTGCCATGAAAGGTTTTGTTCATAGTCGGAGAAAATGCTTCTAATAGGAAAGTAACAGGGGAAGAATTTTCTTTTTCCAAAACAAAATTTCTCCTCTTCCCTTACTTATCCAATGAAAGCAAGTTCTCCCCTATGAACAAAACCTTTCATCTTTTAAATTTTAAGTTTCTCTTAACCTGCTCTGTTCCCAAAAGGATGAAACTAATCATCCCTGACATCAAAGAAGTTTTAACGGTGAAGACAGTAGAGGAACAATGGTGGGTGTTTAAGAAAATCTTTCATGGCTCTCAGCAAAGACCTAGATTAGGCAAAATCACAGACCAAGATGGGATGCACCTTTAGGATATTAAAGAAAGTAGCTGCAGAGACAATGGATGCACTGATTTTAATCTTCCAGGAATCCTTAGATTCTGGAAAAATCCCAAAGGATTGGAAAACTGACAATATAACACTTCCCTTCTAAAGAGGAAGAAGACAAGAACAAGTCACTATAGACCAATTAGTTTAACATCTGTTCTTGAGGGAAAATGATAGTGGATTATTTAGGAGTACATATGATTAAGAAGAGTCAGCCTACTTCACGCTTGACAAATTTACTAGAATTCATTGAAGAGGACAAGCAAAATAGATAAAAGGGAAGTAGTGGATGTAATATATTTAGCTTTTCAGAAGGCGTTTCATAATGTACCACACATTAGCTGACTTAAGAGATCATGATGTTTGAGGGAGTCTATTTGTCTGGAGAGAGGATTGGCTAATTGATGACAGTTGAGATATGGGGAGCATTTTCAGGGTGGCAACATGCAACAAGTGGTGTATCAGGGATTAGTGGGACCACAGTTATTTACAATATCTATTATGACTGAGGAAAGTGAACGTGCTATAGCTAAGTTTGCAAATGACCCAGAAATATATGGGAAGGCGAGTAGTGATGACACACCGATTCAGTAGAGGGATATGACCCGGGTTAAGGAAGTAGGCAAAAAAAAACTTGGCAGATGGAGTATAATGTGGGATTGAGCTTTTGGCAGGAAACAGAGGAGCTGAGTGTTATTTAAATGGGAAAGACTGCGGAAAGCTACCGACCAGAAATTTGGGAGTCGTCATCCGTGAATCAAAAAAGCTACTGTATGAGTTCA